CAACTTCATCTCAAAGTCAGCCAGAGTCCGTGCCAGGAAATTTTGCATAAAGCAGCACATTTCCAGAACTTTTCTGCAGGAAAGTTCAGGTGTGTAAAGGGTGTATTTCCAAGGCAACTCTGAGGTATTGTTTATTCACACAATGTTAAAACATTAAAATATTAAAATATTCACCTTATGGAGGAATCGCCATCAAAATCCTTAAAGCTCTCAGCCATACTGACAGACAGCATCATGAGGGGTAACTTTTTCTGTAAATAATCAAAGTATGAATGGGTTATGTGAGGAAATTAGGAAGTATTGCATGGCATGATTTTTGATAGTTCTGCTTTAGAACTATCTACTTACAATAGTTTACATGGGTATCACAGTTAAGGGGCAATGTAAAATAATTGTGTAAATTCATGGCACAAGACAAGATCCAAAGGAAGAAAAAAAGAGGGCAAAACTGAGCAGCCTGAGCAGATTTTCCACACTGAATCTTGTTTTACAAAGAAACAAAAAATAATAATGTTCTTGAGGAAAAAGAAATTGAAGGCCTGTATTTAGCACTTATGAGCAGCTGCCACACATTCAAAGCATATCCAAAACTTTTCTGTCCAGACATAATCATCCACATATACAGACAGAACGAAAACCTCAGAAGACAGATTCAGGGACTCTCCATCAGCAATTTGGGATTAGGTTTCTTAACAAAATGGCAGGCCAAGATAAACTATTGGAAGAAATCCCACCTCCATCCAGTGTGATGGTGGTCCATGTAGATGATCTTCACAGCCACAGCATTTCATCATATGACCATTTCATTTGTCTTTTTGAACGTTACTTATTTTTCATATACAGCAACTGCTTAATCTGCTTCAAAATCTCGTCCAACACACTTACAAACCACATGATTGAATAGGGGGTCAGCTTACCATCCGTCTCTCTGAGTCCAGTCCCTGCTGACTCTGCAGGCAGCCTACCAACTTCTTATAGATGATCTGGGCAGCTTTCTTTGCTGGCTCCACACGCTGTTCAACCTTAAAGCAACCAGATGGAGCATTCATTTACAGGGCCTTGTATTCATATTCTGTTAGCACAGCTTGTGTGTATGTAGGCATCTCAAAAAACTGTGCCATATGCAGATTTATTAGTTAAGGTGTAATAGTGGTGGAAATGCCCTACCAAAACAAGATCCTCTGAGAGAAGATCAGTTGCATCCTGTGACCTACATTAAAGAAACAATTACCGTGAACATTACTTACATAATACAGATGGCAAGCTATATGATGCTGCAGCTGTGTTGATATTTTGACCAACAGCATGACTGTAAATGTATAATATTGCTTAATTATAAGCAACAAGTTATTTACTGAGTAAATTGGATTGAATTGGTTCAGTGAATGATTCAATGACTCACTCGTGATGACCGTTTTGTTCCTCAAAGAATCAGTGTTTTTGAACAATTGACTCACTCATAAAGACAGTGGCTGCATTTGAATATGCTTCCCTACTATTTAGTAGGTGAAAAACAGTATGTGAAAAGTGTAGAATGTCCGAATTCACAATATTCATAAAACATTCGGCAAAAAGTACACAGACAACCAAGCAAGGTAGTGAAGTATGCATACAATCGACGCTTTACTATCCCATAAGGCCACGGGAGAGTATTAGTGAATGGCAGTGATGCTGACGTTGATAGGTTACATGATGATAACAACATGACTATTGTGCTACATTGGGATTTCATTCCTGCTACACACATTCATATACAGAGTTTATTTATTTACTTTTTTAATGGTCACAAAGTATTATGTGATTTTTGATGCAGCCAGTGTTTCTGAATTGAATCAGTGTGTATAAACAAATCCTTCGAATTAATGATTCAATGACTAACTTACAAAGAGAGACACTTTTAACCAGCCACTGCTAATAACAGACTGACAGTGATGCAAACAGTGAAAAATCCCAGTTTTGTTGGACAGCAAAAAAACTCATCCAGATTAAGGACAGCATCCTCTATGCTTTCACTTTTCTCATTTCCTCCTTATTCTACTTTGTACTTTTCTGAACGATGGCGGAAACATTGTATTACTAGCACATCTCGTGTTTATTGCATCTGCTAAATGAATAAATGCAAATGTAAATTCTTAAATCACAAGAAATTCAACGGTTGCAAAAGCTGCCAACAGCTGTGACCTAAAGCAGCTAAAACTAAAATTAGAGAGCCAAGGCTGCTGTAGAAAACAGGCCAACGTGGGTAGAGGGGAAGTGGACTGTGGGCTGAAGCGCAAACCATTTTACTCTCTCGCTTTTATCCACAATCTGTTGTGCACCATGTATGAGTAGATACACAGAACACAATTTCTAGCCTGAAATATCATCAGAGACAGATGAACGATGTCATTTCCTACATTTGCAACATCATCCAAGAACACAAAAAACATGAGAAGCCATGTTTGTGTCGCTGAAGTGGTGACCGGGTTACACTGCGATTGCATCAGATATTCTTGTTATCCCTGTGTTTTTAAGTCTTATTAGTCTGTGAAAAGGATATGACGTTATTCATCTTTTTTACAGCGTAGAAATCTTTTGTAACATTATATATTTACCGTCACCCTCGCTGAATAAAAGTATTATTTCTTTTAAAAAAACTTACTGACCCCCACTATAGTAGTGTACATTCAGTATGTCAATTACAAAATACTTGTCATTTTATCGCTGGCTTTATTGTATAGGCTGTTCCATAGGACCAAAACAAGCACATGCAGTACGTGGTATACGTTTTCAGCTTCAAAGGTCACACAAACAATTTTATCAGCGTGGTATTGTCTCTGCTTTGAGTCTGGGGTTAAGAAGTTTATTAATATCCTGTTAACGTCATATCAGTGCAGACTGCAAGACTAGCATCTTGTTCTGTGCAACCTGCAGATGTGCTCTCCACCCTCGCAAACTAAAAATTGACACCATTTTATCATGACCTTTTTCAACACAATCACCTAATCACTGTCATGTTAGTTAGACTCTACATAATAATAAATATATGTGAAATATGTGTCAAATTATATTTAAGCTAGGCACAGAGAGCGTGAATGTCAATGAAATCTAAGATCTAATATTGTTTGTAATAATTGTTGTCATGACATTTTATTTTGAGGCTTGAACCGAAATAAATTTACCAGTCAATGTAAGAAAGAAGTGCTGAAGTTATAGACATATCAATTAATGAACAGTTGTACTGTTATCAAATTAATGTTTTCACCACAACATACGATGAAACAAACCACCTTCTTCACTTCAGACTACCTTACACCACAAATAGCTCATATTAGGAGAAATAAAACAGCTATCAATAATATGAATATTTAGTTTTGTTACAAAAGATAAGCAAGTCTACTGCATAAAACAGTCACTTAGTCACATGTGGTGTCATTCCAGTAACACTGTCACATAAAACACCACAAACATAGTCTGAAAGCAACAAATGAAAGTACTTACTTCCCCCCATTTCCAAACTGTTTTAAGATGTTAAACTGCTTTAGCATGATCGTGAAGAATCTGTCGCCTTCAAGTCCTTGTTTCGTACATGCAGGTCAAGAGTATATCAGTTTCATTTGATAAAGAATATTGTTCTCTGAAGTCAGTAAACAGGCATGTCATTCAGACTTGTGTCAGCAACAGTCTCAACTTGACTGTTTCACATTTGTGCACACACCTCATTGACTTGGAGAAAGAGGAAGTTACCAAATGCATAAGAGGAAAGACATTTTCATATCATGCTGTGAAAGTCATGCAGTCCTCTCTGAGCCACAGAGAACACTGAAGTAGATGTGCACAGCACAGAGCATTCATTTGCTATGTATTGTATATAAACAACTGCCAGGAGTCAGGTGGATGGAGTAAGAGGCTTTATATACTAGAAAGAGAATATGAATTAAAAATGGACATATTTACTTCTATATACATCTGTGTTAATCGTAAACTGGGTATAGTTGCTTCACCATAGTTAACTTTGTGGCATTAATTAATGTTCATTTCATTACCTTACCTTTGGCAATCAAGTGTGAATTGTCCATCACATTACAACCATTAAATATGCACTGTTTGTATGTGCAAACAGCAGGATGTGAAAGATAGGTGAAAGGGGAAATGTTTTTTCATATAATTTATGGTGGAGTGTCATCACAAATTATCATCTTGAGGGAAACACTGTGGCTAAGACTATGAACTGAAACCAGTGGAATGTCCCAAGTAAACATGCTATGGGGGAAATGGAGCCTCCTACAGGGGGCCCGCTGCAACAGAAAAATACAATATCGTTTCTAATGTATGCATGTATGTATAAATAAAGAAATAATTCATGGCATACTGGCTCACGCAAACTATGGTTAGTGATTCGGTTCGGCAAACTAAGGTTTTTGATTCGCCAGAGTCAGAACATTGTATAAAAAACGTATTATTTTAAATATTTAAATACCGCGGACTGATCTCAGATATTTACATAAAAAAAGCTATCGATTCACTTTAGAATAATAAACTTTTGCTCAGTTATTATACACAATATTGAAAACTGGAAACCATCTATTCGTGTAACAACAGGCTCATATAATTGGTCCTTTTACATCACCGTTGAGAAAAGCAACGGGAACACGTGACATTTGCTGTTCGGCTTTAGGATACGAGGTAACTTAGCATTTTTTTAATTAAGTGATCTCTAAGAATATGTAAATAATCGATTATAAATGTGATTAACATGCGGGTCTAATCCTCGCAACCATTTTTCCAGCCTCTGGATTATCACCATACAGATTTATCATAGCCTTAGAATAAATATGCCATCTAAAATGAATTTTTCAATTAATGAAAAAATTTTTATTCGACTAGCTTATCAATTTTTTTTCCAAATCTCAACTATCACTACATTAATATTGTGAATTCAATATCCCTGTGTTGAAATGTAAAAGTATTGACTGACAAAGAGAAAACACTTTTATTCATTTATCAATTTATTTATTTATTTGTATACAACAAAGTTTCAAATAAGGAATTCCACTGATTTCATATCAATACCCCATGTAAATATTTATTTCAGTGCTGGTGAATGCTTTACAAATGTTAAAATACTTTGTAAATAATTGTGTTTAAGAACTGGAAAAAATGTTGCACCATGAGCATCATCAATGTAATATTGCTTTCCTTAAATGGTAAAGGCAAGTCAGGTCCCAGCAATTGGCTAAAGCATAAAACTCTTCAAAATACTATGAGGGCACACCAGTGAGTCTGAACAATGGTCCCACCTCAAGAGAAATGGAAAACCCCTGAGTAAAGGGGCATTATAGAAGATGATGTGGTGAATGCAGAGACATGCAACAGCTCCATCAGCTGTGCTGAAGCAGCTACTTTAATACTGTCCTGTTTATAGCGATGCCTTTTTCTGTGAGATTGCATTAGATTGTGTTTAAGTACTTAAAAACAATAACATTTTAAATGATGTAACCTGCAGCATTAGGTTCCAACATGCCCTGATTTCACAAGGTAACAACCAAAATACCCTTCTATTAACCTTTAAATGACTACAGATGCATTTTGCACTTAAACAGGATGAGGCCACAAAGATTGACAAAAGACAGTACAGTAGAAGGGCTGATATTTTTCTTTACATAAAAATACAAAATGTCTAAGTTAGTGATGGACTATTCCACACTACAACCTGCTTCATTCTTCCCTATCAGCTCACCTGCAACCCTACCTCACTCTTCCATAACATCCCAATCTAATGTAATGGTGATAACATCATAGAAATGTAGAAATTGAGAGTAAACTCCAGCAGCTTTAGAGTCTGCGCACAGTGAATGTGTCAGGGGAAGGATAAGGTGAGTGAAGTTGGCTGGTATTTAAATTAAAAACCCAACAAACTCCAACATCATACACCACCTTCCATTTGACTTCCTATAAATGTCCAAATCTTCCAACCTTGGATGGATGGAAGGATGACATGTACAGATTCCCCTGAGCAGTCTCCTCTAAATAACTAGTCCCCTTCCCTCCCTCCCCAGAAAAGCCCTGTCCTGTGTGATGATGCTTGGACTAGTGTTTCGACTTTGCCTCTTCTGCTTCTTTTTCTGGAAAAAAAAAAAGCAGAGAAACAGACAAGATCAGTGTCATTATTAGTTATTAAAGGGATAGTTCACCCAAAAATAAGGAGTTTTTGGATGGACGATCCGTTTAACTAGTCCATCAGTATTATCTTGAGGAGGCGTACACAAACTTTTTACTATGAAAAGCCAAAAGTCAATCTTGATTGAGGGCCTTGACCCAGAAGTAAATGTATTATATCCATTTATTATATTAAATGTACATAAAAAGTACAAATTCACTTATATTCTCTACATTTATAATAGTGAGTTTCATTGAAACAAAAAAAAGTTAAAAAGAAAGATCTACTTCACTGTTTAATTTTTTTGTATGGCAGGCCATATCAACATATATTTTTGTTTGTATAATAAAATAATAGAATTTTTTTTATGGTAAGCAAGCCATATCAAAGGTTATTATGGGCAAACTTTGGCCCACTGGCCCTGGTTTGGGTATCTCTCAACATGTACACACCACAAATTATATTTATGTTATCATTAGCTATATTTCCATCCACCTATTTTTATGGTTATTTTTATTGTGCATTTTGGGATATCGCATTAAAAAAAAAAGACCGAACAGTGCGAACACTGAATGGAAATACCAAGATACGTATAAATTCTAAAAAAGCTCATAAAAAAACATATGAAAAAAAAAAGTAATGTGACCATGGGACGGCATAACTGGGCCAACCAGTCTCACTGGATGGAAATGGTGCTTTATTTGCAAATGTTTTTTGTGATATTCCAGTTTTGTGCATAAGTTAAATTCGCAACTTTGGATGGAAGCATAGCTATTGGTTGATCTCTCATTAGAAAACATAATGCTATCAGTTCACCTTTCCTTAGTTCTTCTCGCTTTCTTGCTGTGTCCTCCCTCTGCTTTTTTATAATGGCCAGCCTGGCCAGGTCTGCCCTGGCCTGCTCAGTCTTCCCCTCTAGATGCAGCTTCATGTATCGCTCCTTAGCCTTCTGCTTTTCAATCTCCTCTCTATACAAGGAAACACATAAATAAAGCAATAAAACAACAGTTTATTTGACTCTGAGGTTCTCAAGTATATGTTGTCCCACATACCTTTCCCGACGTGAGAGCTCTTTAGGTGCATTGACATCTATTTCCACAACCTTCTTACTCTTTTGGGAGACCCTGTTCGGATTCTCGATTTCAATCAGTCCTTCTACACCTTTCCTTTTAGGCTGCTTCGAGAGAGAACAAATCAAGAAAAAAACTTCATAAATCAGAAACAGCCTCTGCAACACTATCACCATCTTATATTAAACTATTTCCCTAATAACAAATTATCTTATTAATTTAAGGTTAGTTGACTAAAAAATTAAAATTCTCTCATCAATTACCCACCCTCATGCCATTCAAAACCCACATGACTTATATTCATATTTGGAACACAAATGATGATATTTTTAATATTCTCTCATTATTTTTGTCAATCAATTAAAAGTCCTTGTAACCAAGTAGCATTAAAAAGTACAAAAAGACATTGTAAAAGTAAAGCATATGAAAAAGCGGTTCCAGGTTTTCTGAAGAGACATGCTTAATATAATGAACAGATTTAATTTAGACCTTTATTCATAAACATTGATCAACACACAAACACAGAGCACATCAAAATAATATAAACAGCAGCTCAACTGTACCTGCTTAGGCTAATACACTAGAATAAACCTCTTTAATCCTCATGTAAAGCCAGTTTGAGCTTATGTTTATCATATTTGATGTGCTGTATGTATGTGGGTTGATCAATGTTTATAGGTGAATCAAAACCTAAAATTGAATCTGTTCATCTTATAAAGCAACTGTCTCTCTTCCGAATACTTCGATTAAAACACTTGTTTCACATGGATTACATTTACAATGTCTTTATAAATATTTTTAAACATTTTGGTTGTGTAGAATTTCAGTGGAGGAACAGAAATGTCCCAGGTTTCATTTAAAAAAAATCTTTATTCATGTTTCAAAGATTAACCAACATCTTATGGGTTTGAAACAAGGGTGAGTAAATAACATTTTTCCTTTCTGGGTGAACACTTTAAGTGAATTTAATTAAAATGCCATACTTCATCATCACTGCTGCTCTCCTCTTCAGATTCTGATGAACTGCCACGTTCAGCCCCTTCATTTTCTTCCTAGACCCAAATGAATCAGAGTTTCCATTATACAAATTGATGCTCAGCAAACAACACCTCCACTGTATCACTTTCAGGAGTGTGTGCGTGACAGAAGATGAACACTAGTGCACTCACCATTTCCTTCTGAGCTCTCATCTGCCGATCAATCTCCTCAGGGTTGCTGAACTGCTTCCCACGGCCCTTATGGCTTTTTTTGCCTAAGGTGGTGGGCAAGGTAAAATAAAAATTAAATACATTTAAAATATTTCAAAAAAGAGATAATAACACTACATGCAGCTACGTACTACCATAATTAGGCTAAGCATGAATAAGAATTGTCGATGAAGCTGTAACACTTCTCAGACAATCCATGTGGCTGCGCTGGCCCAGCATGGCCTGAGGTTTGTTACCCACTATAGAAAAGCTCTAACCATTAACAGTATCCCCTAGGACCATAAATTCACCTTCACTTCCAATTTCCCTTTCATGCGTTTTTTTTACTACAATACTGGCTCTGGCGGTATAGGTTACTGGAAAACATTAGAAAGCGATCAAGCAAGCACACGATACTCACCTCCTCTCGGCATTGTTGAAACACTCTGTGACGATGAAAACCCTCAGGAAATAAAAAAGATTATGTTTGGTCCTAAAATTAAATATACCCGAAAGGACTGAATAACTTTATTGTGTTCTGTGAGCCTTAAAATGGGCTGTTTTAAAGTTAAATATGACGCGACCTCACCGAGTCAAATTGATACTGCTGAAAGCACTATTTTGCCGCTTCCTGAGAGTGACGTCAGGCGACCGTCCTGTTGATGATTGACTGCTGGGCTGGCCAATCAAAATTCCAAATAGTTTCTACGACAGAGGAAGTTAGCCAATGCGATGGCATGATCTATTCATATGTTGTATTACATTTCTCATTATATGCAGTGTTGTTTTAATAGTTAATATCATTATAGAATTATATAATGATATAACCTATTATATTACATCTTTTATTTAATAGTTTATATATAATTATATAATTATATAATGATATATTATATTTAGTGCTGTCAAACGATTATTCGCATCCAAAATAAAAGCTTTTGTTTACATAATATGTGTGTGTGTGTGTACTGTGTATATTTATTATGTATATATAAATACACACACATGCATGTATATATTTAAGAAAAATATGTTATGTTTAAACATTTAAAATATTTATATATAATATCAATTATATTAATATAAATATATACATGGAAATATTTTCAAAATATATACTGTATGTGTGTATATTTATATATACATAATAAATATACACAGTATACACACATATATTATATAAATAAAAACTTTTATTTTGGATGCGATTATTCGCGATTAATCGTTTGACAGCACTAATTATATTGTATCTTATATTATAGTTGCAGTTTTCATTTTCATTTTAACGTTTTAGTCGTGCTTGTCACTTTTAATAGTTCTATTATCTTTCTTTTTATTTAAGTTTTAGTTTTACTAGATTGAGTATTTCAACTTAAACTTATTTCAGTAAGTTGCCATGGCAACGTTTCTATTTTTCCCCTTTTTTACGTTTAAGACATTCATCCATTTATCCAATATTTTAATTCTTTCGTCTTCATTTTAGTTACAAAAATGTTTTTAAAAATAGTTTCAGTTAACAACACTGATTCATGTAGATTCAATTAAAAGGTAAACATTTGTGTATATAGGCCTACAGCACATAAAACCAACATAAATATAAAATAACATTTCTAAGAACATGGCACTCAAAATCCTTTTTATTGTCTCAGACATCCTTATTTCTCATTGACCCACGTGTTCAAAAGTGGTTTTGCTGATTGTGCAATTATTTTGTGTAATTTATATGCAAGAGTTAGAAAGTAGGAAAATCTAAAACCTCACTCAATATAAGACACTAATATTCATAATACACATAAGTAAACAAAATATGAGTAATTGAACATAAATGTCCCAAATTTCAGCTTTCTCCTCTGTTTATCTTTTAGGATTGATTGCCACATCACCATGATGTTTCTGCTGAGTGTCTTTGTGTTTCTTTCGGCTAATAAAGATGAATGATGCAAGGGCAAGAAATATTCCAGCAGTGATCAGCTCTCCTCCAGCCATGTAAAAAATCAGTTCATAGTTCTTGTACCTATCCACCAAATAACCTATGGGGAAAAAATACATGAAAGAAAACATTATTTATTACATTTACCAATTTATCATAAAATGACCATTTCATAACGGACGATTCAATCTAATACATGTTTTATCATAACTCACCAGCAGAGGGAGGTCCAATCAGCACAGCCACTGCCTCAATAAGAAGCACTAGGCCAAGTGCACTGGAAAACCCGCTTTTTCCCACAATACCCATTAGCACTTCAAACTGCAGAGCACCCACCATGCCATAAGACAGCCCGAAGAACACACAGAAGATAACTAGCCCCTTATAGTCTGTGTTTGTAGCTGAACAAACATCTGTTAGGCCATTGAAGAGCAAGGCAAGGCTGAAGAAATAAGACATCTTGGGTCGGATCCATTTTAAACCGGCCACTATGCCACACGTGGGACGAGCAAAGATGTCAATAAATCCTATAATAGACAACAAAAAGGCAGCATCCTGGTCAGGCACTCCTTGGTCCTTAGCGTAGTTGACTAGTAGAATAGTTGGAACAAATAGGCCGAGGACAACTATAAATTTTGCAATAATATAGATAATAAGCCCTAAGTCAGCAAGAACACTGAAGTCCAAAAGCTTCTTTTTACTGGGCTTTTTATCATTATTGTTTTCACAAACTATATTCTCTTGTCCAGCCTCAGGAGGCAGCATTTTCTTGAGCTCTTGGGAACAGGCTATCGCTTTCCTTTCTTTGCATTTCAGGGGTCTCATAATTGCTCCACAGGCGCAACAATTGAGCAGAAGACCACCAGTGATGAGAAAGCCTCCTTTCCATCCATAGTGGTTGAGCAGCAGTTGTCCTAATGGAGAAAGAGCTGACAGAAATACAGGGCTTCCAGCTGCTGCCAGTCCATTGGCAAGTGGTCTGCGTTTGTCAAAATAAGACCCCAGCATAATCAGTGATGGTTGGAAGTTTAAAGCCAGTCCAAGACCTTTATAGAGACAAAGGCATTATTCATTAAAAATATGGAATTTAACAACTCTGTCATTAACAACTTAAGGACTCGGTTTTATAATAGTATTTTTTTTGTTTATAAAACAAAGCTTTGTGTTGTGTATACTATAGTAATATCAATACCCCCAATGTTCGATTCTCCTTTTTGAAAAATGTAAACCAGTAAATTTTTTTAATCAAAATATAAATGTCATGTTGTTGGTCTGAATATCAGCACTATGATATTGTTACATTGTTACGCCAGTAGGTGGCGACGTGTTACTTTCTTGACATGTTGTTCCAAAGCTTTTTTTTTTTCTTTCACAGAACATAAAATAAGATATTTTGAGAAACATCTCAGAAACCAAAACTGTTTGATTAGGAGTATTATTCAAAATATCTTCTTTTATGTCCCATAGAATAAAGAAAGTCATAAAGGTCTGGAACAACATGAGAGTGAGTAAATGATAACAGAATTTTAATTTTGGGGTGAACTATCCCTTTAACCAGTATTGCATTTGCTCATATTCAGACTAACAGCACAATTGTGAGTGTGATATTTCTTATAACATTTTTACCGATATTAAGTTTTTTTTAAGCAGACTTAGAGACATGCTGACAGTTACTAATGAAAATATTTAAGTCAAAGCAGACTGGGTGTAGTTCCCAAATGAATCAGTGTATTTGAACGAATTGGATGAACGAAAGATTCAATGACTCACTCATAAAGACAGTCACACATCGCCACCTACTGGCGTAACAATGTAACATACTGTCACTAAAAACTCTCCACATTTCATAGCAAGACCGAAACTACAGTCTGTCTGGAACGCACAAATAAGGACAAGCAAAGTAATACAAACAGTGAAAAGTCAGTTTGAGCACTGAAACTAACTGTTTATAAATTTATAAATGTTTGATATGAAATGTCTTTTAGTTACCTGTAATGACACCTGCAGTGAGATAAAGCTGGATAATGTTAGTAGAGAAAGATGCAATTATCATCCCTCCTGAGGCCAGCAATCCTCCAACCAACATCACTGGCCGGCATCCAAATTTATTAACCATGATGCTGGAGATTGGACCTGGATTAAATTAACATAAATATATTGAGCATTAAGAAGAAGAAGAAAAGATTTTTCTAAAACATGTAAAGGTTTTATAATTCAATTTATAGTATCTTACCTGAACCATACAGCATTGCTAATATTATAGATGAAATCCAGGCTGTGTCACTGTATCCACAGTCAAACTCCGTCATCAGTTCTTTGAAATACACACTTATAGCTTTCGGGAAGGCATATGAGAAGCCAGTGATGACAAAACATCCAAGCAGAACGATCCAGCCCCAGCCACCATCTGGGGCACCTACCGTCTCTCGATCCTCTACAATAATTCCCATAGCTGCTCAGGCCTCCAAAAGAGAAGACATAAAAGGTTTTTGATATATGTAGAATTTAAAAAAAAACGTGATCAGACAGAACAATTTCTATTCAGCTGATGCACTACCGAACATGTGCTGCTGTTCAAGAACCTGCATCACATTTGCAGAGGAAGTTAGTACATGAGTACAAGACACATGTTTCCCTTCACCTCCAGGAAGTACAGTCATAGGCCAACCTACTCATTACTTGACTGACACTGACTGACACATAATGTATCATATTGAGTAAATATCAGAAACTTGGATCATGAAGTTTCTTTTAAGTTTTTTTTTAATCTAGTGACTTGTGTTATAGTTGATTGAGTCTTCAAATGCCAAGTCCGTGGTACACCTCACATTTTATTCTTGCTTGTATGTTGCATCACAAAACGTATGGAAATGTGATTAATTTAACAGCATGCATTATTTGTACAATGATGAGGGAATACATTCAGGGTGTGGATACTTTTACTCTTGTGCATTACTGTAATATAATCTGACTTAAAATGTCTGGCTTTTGACGTAACCAGACATCTGACAGATTACAATTGGGACAGACTGTTAAAAGTTACTACTTTAAAATTTTACATTACTGCAATTCATCAAGATCCTGTTGTAAAATTCTGATTTAAATCTGACCTCTATACAATAATATGCTTTTTACTCCACTTCTTTGTATCGAGCAAATGTGTAGAGCTCACAGTATTTAAAATCATTTCTATTCATTTGGTATTAGTGTCCATAACACTACATTGTTTTACAGAGTCTCTAGAATTATTCTGGAAGTATTTAGTCATGCAAAAGTTTTGCATAACCATATAGACTCTAAATGTAACATTTGTATATCACAATTAATGAAACCACCAGGATGAGTGGTCATAAGAACAAGTGAAATCCAGATGCTTTTACCTGGAAGATTTAAAATCTTCATAGATAAATAAACATAAATATAATCTTGAGAACAATTATTTGATTGTTTTTTAAGATACTTGAAACACAAGTAATTGTCTTACCTGGCTTTTGAAATGGCAGAAAATTTCTTCAAGTAGCTGTATGATCTACCTGGCCTTCTTAGTAGACATAATGTATATAATCTAGATACATAAGGCACTAAGTCTTGTCATCAAGCAAGCCCCATTGCACTGTCCATATGAATTATTTTAAAGCATAATCTGCTAAATAAACCTGCTGGTGCACCTCCTTCCTTGCCTTGTACTCACTGCTAATAATCTGTAATTAATCTGCTCACAAAGTCTCTTATTTATAGGTAATGAGGTGAAATTCCTGGACAGTACAAGTGGTATTACAGAATTATTGTTTGGTTGTTTACTTGTTTTGTCAGTACAGTTACTTGCACAATGCATTTTCATTCTAAAAACAACACAGAGTCATTACACTGATGTAAGTAGTTTGGATGTGATACAATAACAAGTGTTCTTTTATTGTTTTGGAAATCTGGAGTTTAACAGTTTGACAGGTACACTTTTGAAAAGTCAAATTACATAGTAGAAAAACTTTGCCATAAAATTGGTACAGCAATTATTATAATTCAAAATGTATTTGGTTTATAATTATAGAAGAAGAAGAAGAAGAAGAAAAAAGCCGGATCTAGAATTTTCTACCTTAGGCGTGTAATACGTGCCTCACACTCCATATGAAAATCCTCTTAAATCAGCATGTACATGTTTAAACCTTTACAGCTCTTGGCTAATCTTACTGTTGAACCAAAGAAAGAGTGTAATTGTTTTCTGTTATTTGAATGCACATTCAGATCTACACATGCTGAAAGGTTTTGGGACTGTCATGTAAGAGCACTTACTGGGGCCAAAGGAATGAGGATTTGGTATAATAACTGGCTATAAGACAAGTTATTGTATTCTAAACACATTATAAGTGAGCTTCAGCTGATTTGATGTAATCTGAAAACATTCTGTTGAATTCAGCAGATGTTTTTTTTTATAGTTTTGAATGTATTTCCAATGCAACACAGTTATTTTAAGGCAAAATAAACAGAAAATGCACAAATTAGATTACCTGAAATTATTCATTAAAACTAAAAAAACACTATTCTTTTACACATAATTGGCAATGAAACGGTAAAAAATTTAAAAAGGAAATATACAAAGTGATATAAAGAATTTAAAAAAAATCAATTGCGTAATATGTATTGTGTAATTTTATTGAACGTTATGTGAAAATAATCAGTATATAAATTAATATGCTGAATTATGTTAACCCTGGATGAAGTGATGGGGAATGATGAACATATAATGGTCTTTTCATTAGACAGTGGACCTTTCATTAGACAGTACACCAGTGAACTTGAAATAATCTAATATTATCAGGAACACGTATAATGGTCTTTTCATTAGACAATGGACCTCTCATTAGACAGTAAACGTGAACTTGAAATAATCTAATATTATCAGGAGCAGGTGGATGGATTTGACGCACACCTCCTCATGTGGCCACTACCAACCAATAGAAGGTGGCGAAATAAAAGCTAAATGGCTGATCGGACCACATTCCACCATTAAAAAACAAGGCCAAAAGGGTTGGAAACAATTGTGGCAAATCAGGTATCTATAACCAATAAAAAATAACCGGAACAAAGAAAAAACAGAAAATGACCAAATTTGGAGAGAACAAAGGGTATATAATATAAGGAGAGAGGAGAATGATTTGGAATGCTGTGACTGTCTTCCCGGCTTTGTTTCTTTGTTAAATAAAGTCTTATTTTGACATCTGGAACTCTGCTCCTCCACTTCATTGGCCGCACCCAAGAAAAATCCACAACAAGCTCCGCGGCAATGACGCTCGTCGTAGGTCACGAACTTCAATACTACTGAACTTTTTTGACCTCTGACACGCCCCCTGAGGATTATGTCATTCTTTCGTACACCTTCGGCGCGGTTCGGTAATTTGATTGACACCTGACTAGAAGCGCTGACCCCTCCACCTAGCGGCGATACGCGGAAACGTGCCTTCGACATCCCCCTGTACTCTGATTGGTCAAATGTCACGAATGTTAAGAAAATGTTAAGAATAGCGCTTTTTGATTGGCTGGAAACGTTATAGCGCTTCGAAGCGATTGGCCCAAATGTCATAGCGCTTCGACGCGATTGGCTGTGCAGTTCGACATTGCTCGACATTTCTGAAATATTGTCGGACTATCCTTCGTCAGCTGGCGGTCATGTCGCAGTCTCCTCTGGAGGAGTGGGTTCGAATCCAACTTCTGAAAGACCTATCATTTGGCTGCAGACAGAAACTTCAGTCTGCTGGCATGTTGAGCCAGCAGGGCGTTAACTTTGACAAAACACTGCATTAGGTAAATGCTAGTATTAAATGGTCAGGTGCTGATGAAAAATATGTGTCTTTAGACATTTTTTGAAAATGGTTAAAGACTCAGCTGCTCGAATTGAGAAAGGCAAGTCATTCCACCAGCTGGGTACAGTCCAGGAAAAGGTCAGTAAGAGTGATTTTGTGCCTCTTTGGGATGGCACAACGAGGCGTCGTTCACTTGCAGAACGCAAGCTTCTTGAGGGCAAATAGGTCTGAACAAGCGTGTTTAGGTATATTGCTGAAGAGCCAGTAGTTATCTTGTAGGCAAACATCAGTACCTTGAATTTGATGCGAGCAGCTATTGGTAGCCAGTGCAAAATTATGAAGAGAGGTGTGACGTGGGCTTTCTTTGGCTCATTGAAGACCACTCTCGCTGCTGCGTTCTGGATCAGTTGCAGAGGCTGGATAGTAAGTGAAGGAATACCCGCCAAGGGAGCATAACAATAGTTCAGTCTGGAGAGAACAAGAGCTTGGACAAGGAGTTGTGTGGCCTGCTCTGATTGGAAGGGTCTAATCTTCCTAACGTTGTATAAGGCAAATCTGCAGGACCGGGCCATTGCAGCAATAAGGCCTTTGAAACTTAACGAAACCTCAGGAGGACACGGCCACATGTTACATGAATATGAGAGGGATGCTATTACTGCATTCATTCAGCATTAGCCCAGCATGAATGCAGAATTGTGACGACATTGAATATCAAAGTATAGCATAGGACTGAATATAATGGATGAGATTCAGGGAATTTACCTGGAACCTCACAGTTTTTCACAAAAAGTCATGTTGCCTGCCCTCGAGACGGGGGAGAATGATTTGGAATGCTGTGACTGTCTTCCCGTCTTTGTTTCTTTGTTAAATAAAGTCTTATTTTGACATCTGGAACTCTGCTCCTCCACTTCATTGGCCGCACCCAAGAAAAATCCACAACATATGTAAGTGATATTTAAATATTGTCTTGCAATAGTTCCACCAATTTCATTGTAAAATCCCTATACTGTATATACACATAAAAAAAGACTGAATCCCCTTTATTTCCTTTCATCACTTCTTTCTCCGAGAATTACTCCTCACATCTTCAAGTTCCTTCTGTATTAGATGTGTTTCTGCTGTTGACTCTGAAAGCTTAAAGGAAAAAAGTTAAATCACTTTGCAGTTTGCACAGTGTAATTTATAATTGTATATAGATTTAGCCTACATATTTTTCAAGCTATAGTGGCTTCACTCACCATATCAAGAAGAACCTCAATCTTTAGCCTGAGGAGATTATTCTCCTCTTCTAACTGTAGATTCCTTTTCTTCAGTCGCTGTACCTCTTTTCCTGATACATTACCTCCTGACTCTGTGATTGAGAAAGACATTCATTACATTCCTTAAACAGGTTAGCTATTATTACATTTAATTGATCTTTTTATAGCAGGAGGCCATACCTGAAATCCACTGGCCATCTTCAAATTTTAAGCTCTGGACGCCAATATTCATCACCGGAGATCCATATTCCAGACCCAATTCAATCTCCCGTGTTGACCGATCCAGCTGATAAAAACAATAAATGATGATTTGGCTTCTAAATACATATTATTTGATTTAAAATGCATCTTACTAACAGAAAATTGTACTTACTGTATGTAGATTGGAAAGGGATGCAGATTTCCGAGGTGGTGTTTTTTTGGGACTGAAAATGTTGCCAAACAAGGGCATTTTTGAGGTAAATAGTCAGACTTTCCAACCTGCATCAACATAACATAATTCAATACATGGCCTTTTTTGCCTTTTTTAGGCCTTTTTGTCCACATCAGGCTAATTACAGTTGTCCAGTTAAGAAAGCCAAAGGCAATTATTCTTCATTTCAAAATGGCAATTAAATAAGGTATTAATAAGATAAGATAAAACAAAATAAAATAATAATAATAAGGTGACTACCTTTATCTTCGAGAGACTAGTTACTAGCAAGCAGCTAGTTATAAATACATATTCTTCAATACATCGATCGAGCACAACATTTTTTTTAAATAAATGCATGTACAACGTGAAAAAAAAAAAAACTTACGCTGCTGCTTTAGTTTCTCCTCACACTGCTTCAACGATGCTCCTGAAAGCCAAAGAAATGTGTAAACAAACGGCTAATTCCGGGGAGCCTCGCAACGCCGGAAGTTACATTTTATAAGTTAAAAGTACCTTTCCAAATAATGCCCTACAATTATGAGACATTTATAAGGCTATTTTAATTTGGTGGTGAATTTTCGAGAGAAAATGCACAGATTGCACCACTGTTATGATTAAGTATTATTATGCTTTGTCTTTCTTGAGAAGCCTTCCTAGATAACCATAAGGCTAAAATCTAGACATAATCATGTCAGGACAGCCCTCTGACCATAGATATGTATATATATATATATATATATATATATATATGCCTCTGACACTCTCTAAAATTGCAAATAATAATAATAATAATAATAATAACGAAAACAATAACAAGAAGAAGAAGAAGAAGAATTCTGTGGTATTCCCACTGATCTATATATAATATATAATTCTCTATTATAGATCAGTGGGTATTCCTCAGATATCTTGTAAAGTACATAGAAATGCACATTAAGAGGCATAAAATGCTGTTGCTTTGCCCACTTCTACTTTCATTAGGCTGTTAAAATAACTTGTAATACTTACTGACATGCTGAATGAGCTCCATTGTGTGAATAATATTATAATAGTTGACCACTGATGCCCTGTTTCATTTTTACTACACAAGATGAATCATTTTGGAGATGTAATCGTTTTAAATCACTAAACATGTTGGGAAAATATATATTACAAATACTCGCACAATAACTAAATATTAGCTTTGACTGACAGCTATGAAAACCACTATGGCTTTATTTCATTCTGTTGACGTGATATAGTCTCAGCAACTGTTAATTGTAGGCTAATTTAAAAAATGTAGTCAAAAAATATTAATTTATTTCATGTATGCTTTCCTACAAACTAAAAGGTAAACATGATATAAATATATAATGATGCTATAATATCTATATAATAATAATACAATCGACCTCTAAACCAGAGACTGACAATTGTACCTGAATTAAATTAACAGGCAATATTGTCTGTAACAGACAATAAACTTTTTTTAAAATTATTATTATTATTTTTTTCAAATAAACGCGAGATTTTGGGCCTTTGCTTTATGAAAGAGCTGCCTGCCAAGTTTTTGTAAAGAAAATCACCCATGCCCCTAGTGGCTGAATGCTCCACTTTGAACAAAAAAGGCTCCATCTCTCTGCCTTTAGGACCTCACAGCCTGTACGGTTTAGTTAAACTTGGGAAAACGACACAAGTGGCACATGTTCTGTCCGTTGATTTGGGGCAGGCGAATGAATGAAAAGTATGATTTTGAAGGAATAAAACACCCAAACCTTTTGCCTGATAGTTAAAGGGATTTATTGCTTTAACAAACAGTTCCTGGTGGAAGAGAAGATCTAAAGTCTTAGGTGGGTTGAATGTCCTCCTAATAAGGTTTTGTTTTAGCTTGCTACATAGCTGACTTTTGCAATGTAGATTAATTTGTATATACCATTTTAATAATTAAACCGCTCTGGTGTTTACTTTATCCTCTGGTGTTTTATGCCAGTTATTATTAAGGTAAAAAAATCTTTAAACGCGTCCTCGCTGCAGCAGTTCGCGAAATGTAGCTTGCTAATTGGCTAATGTTACCAGGAGAATTTTAAAAAGATTTTATACGATACTGTGTAGAAAAGGTCCGTTAAAATTTAATTATAAAATATTAGACTCTAGGAAAATATTTTGGATGTTTGTTGGAACTGTTTTGTGTCGGCATATAAAACTCATCATTGATATTAATTGGTGTAAACAAACCTGAAGTTGACAGCATTAGCGGGCTAGCCGAGCGCTAGCTAGCATTAAAGCTAATGCTAACCCAAAGCCCGTGCAAGTTAACTTTCTCATTGGTGTGTACCGCTGACACTACCCTTTAACGTCAAGTCGGTAAAATATGTTATATATTCTAAATTATATTGAAGAGTGTTTCAAGTACGACTAAAGGATGGCTGGTATTTGTTTTTGATTTCTGAAGTCCGGAGAGAGTTGCGTTAGTGGGGGGTTTTCCTAGGAGAGTCCGGGGATGTGGCTTATCTCGAATTTTAGGCCTTAGAGATGATATCTGTAATATCTACTTTTTGTGCATATAATTATGTGTTAAATTACTTTATTATGCTCAGTTATGTCTAGAAAAGTTTGAATCATTAATATTTTCCTGATTAATTACCGCAATTACATTTTCTACACCAGTATATCAGTTTTAATGTTTGCTAGAATATTAAAAACACATATAACTGAAATGTTTTACGTAACATTTTGTGCTTTTATCTTTTATAAAACCACTTGCAGTAATTGTATGCTTTGTCTCTACAAGGTGTATTTTTTACACCATACAGGGTTTGTTTAAACGTAATACAATTTTGCTTATTGGTTGTGATATGTTACAGCTATGGATCTAGAACGACAGAAGCGTAAAGAAGAAATTCAGAAAGCTTTGGGATTCATTCAGTAAGTTTGTAGACTTATGTGCTGCATCTCCATAATGCAGTAATAATTAACTTCTTCCCCTCTACTCTGTTGAAAATTTGCTAAACTTATTTTTCTTTTTACCAGGTCATCTCTGCCTTTCCCTGAACCTGAGGGTTATGAGGTATGATTTATATGTACTATCTCTGGAGAAAAATGGCCCCACCTAGATAATCCGTATTTATTGAATTTCATGAGCTTAATTCAAATAGAAGCTCTCTTGCTTTCTTTTCTCAGGCATTTCTGACTCAGCTAGTATGTAATTTGCTGGATGAAGGTAACGCAGTGTATCGTGATGGAGAGTGGAGACAGGCAGCAGTCCATTACAGCGAGGGTGTGAATGTAGCTCGCTATGCTCAGTCTGAAGCACTGGTCATTCCCCCTGAGCTGTTAGAGAGCCTTTATGTGAACCGGGCAGCTGACATGAAAAGATAAAATAAAATATTTACAAAACAGAAACTCACTTCTGTGAGATACTGTAATTAAATGTAGTATGTGCGAATTATGTAGTAATTCAATAGTGCTGCAGACAATTTCTGCAAATCTGCCTTCTCTTGTATTTTTTATTTAGGGGGAGTACGAGCGGGGCGTGCAGGACTGTGATAGCGCACTGTGTGTGTCGGAGGGCAGTCGCAGGGCACTCTACAGGAAGGCACTTTGTCTGAGGGAGCTGGGCAGATTCAGAGAAGCTTATGAGTGTGGCACCGGATGCCTATTAACTGCCCCTCACGTATGTTTTTATATGCAGAATAAATAGTATATTAATCTGTAATAGGGCTGCACGATAAATCGCATGCGATATTTAACGCGCATATTTGTGTTATTTATGCAATTCAAAAGTTTGAAGTCAGAATGTTTTCATTATTGCTTTTATTGAGCAAAGATGCATTACATTAATCAAAAAGGACAGTATAGGCATTTATAATTTCACAAAAGATTTAATTTTGAAATAAATACTGCTATATCGAACTTTCTATTCAGAGAATCCTGAAGAAATGTCTTAAATTCCACAAAAATATTAAGCAGCACAACAGTTTTCAACATTGATAAAACAACATGTTTCTTCATCAGCATATTAGAATGATTTCTGAAGGATAATCATGTGACAAAGAAAAGTGGAGTAATGGCTGCTGGAAATTCAGCTTTACCATCACAGGAATAAATTGCTTTTTAAAATAAATAAAAATAGAACACAGTCTTTTTAAAATTGTAATAATATTTTACAATATTACTGTCTTTACTGTATTTTTGATCAGATAAATGCAGCCTTACTGAGCATAAGAGACCTCTCAAAAACATAAAAAAATCTTATTGACCCCAAACATTTTGAATGGTAGTGTATATAATTTAATGTATATTATATTCATTTAGAGGTTTGTATGACTTGTCTTGTTAGTTCATGTAATGCTTAGCTATCAAAACATTGGTTGTTTGCTTGCTTTATTTTACACAGGACCGGCAAGTCAGTGAGCTTGCTCAGGATCTAGCTAACAAACTTGGTTTGAAAATCCGCAAAGCATATGTCAGCCCTCAGGTTTGTTTTTTAGATTGTTAGGTTAAAATATTGATCATTTGCAGTTTATATAGTTGTACTCATTCCAACATGTCACTTTTTATTCCAGCTCGATTCTACAACATCTGCGACCGACAGCAATGGAGAAACTAATTCTCCTACAGGGGAGGCAAGTTTTACAAAAAAGTTGTTCTATAAAAATAAAAGCTGTTTTGTAAATTGAGAATTGCATGGTTTGGATTACTTTAACGAATCTCCTTGTTTTTCTTTTCAGACCTCCTCAAATGGTCTTGAGTCTTTGACTGATATTGGATCAGGTATGTTCATAGACTGTATAAAAACATGGACGTAGTGTACGTGACGTCACCCGTAGGTTTCTGAAGAGTGTTTTTGAAGCTCAAAGTGGGCGGAGCCAGCAGTCGCCATCTTGGCAGCGCGTCACTCCCGGATAATCGAAAATGAGCAAAGAGGCGTGAGCTGGTTGCTGAAACCACGCCCACCTCGCTCGACGGCGGTGACGGCAGCGGCAATCCACCTGTCACTCAAGTGGCCACGCCATTAATTATGCAGAACTTTAAGGCTTAATATAATTTAAACGGATGAGTT